TGAACAAAGGAGAAAGCGTGACGAGCGTATGCTATGCAGTTGACCGTGGTAATGGTATCAAATGCTGCACCCCAAATTGATTGGAGAAGGTTTAAAGGATGCACCCGTATCGTGAAATTTAGTGGCACAGCCCGTGTGACTTAGATTTTCAGTAATAATTATGGTGTCAAACGTTGCGATATAAATAAACTGATGGCAGTGATGGGGATGTACTTACGACATCTGTGCGTATTATCCACTGACTGTCAATGCATTCACTTATCTAAACGGTTAGGGAGGCAATTCTTTATTTCTTATCACATCGAGTCTTGATTTTTGTCAGTGACTTTAAATGCAGAACAAAGAACGTTTGTTACATGACGGAGTTTTACTCGCAGGACCACTTGGTTCGACGACACCGGTGCATTCTTTAAACCTTCTCCAATCAATCTGAGGTGCAGCATTTGATACCCTTACCACGGTCAACTGCATAGCATACGCTCGTCACACTTTCTCCTTTGTTCAGTCAGCTTTCCAACAACGATCTTTGTAAAAAGAAATAATAAATTGGTCAAATGTCTCTTAACGTCATAATGTTCCGATACTTTCGACCTAACTGACTTGCAGCTGCATGGCTAAAGGTTGTGTTTCAAGGCTAAATAATGATGGGCGGTGGTTAAAGAATAGTCATTCGTGGCTAAAGAATGGTGGGTTGTGGTTAAATGATTTTTGGTTGCGGCTAAAGAATTATGGGTTTTGGCTAAAGCCTAATGGGAAAATTTGTTGAACGAAAGATTGAGACTAACTAGGCGACTTACCCTTTGTTTTACGAACAGCGAGCGACTTCATCTTGTGTGCAATCCCGACATTGAAATCAGATAAAGCTTTTATTCGTCCCGAAGAACAGAATTTAAGCGCCATGCTTATCGGTACCTTTTTTCATTGCTTGCATTTATTGTTCATGCAATTAATTTAAAATGGAGGGACAATGTTTCGAACAGCAATAAAACAGGAATGATATCAGCTCCAGATGGGAAGCACAACTTCTTTAAGTTCATCATTAACCAGTGATTGGTTGTTTAGGTGCGCCTTAGTTCATGGTCAAGTCGAAGTCAAAAGGGTAGGACATGCTGGAGGTGAGCCGTTTTTTTGGGGAGTAAAGTAACATGTATTTGTATCAGATGGATGAGGACGATACATTCAATCAAACAGGTATGCCGTGGATGAGTTGCAGCCAGTTGGTAAAGGTCTGGTGGATCCACTAATATCTTTTATTTTAAATTAAATTTACGCAAAAATACTTGAGTTTTCCAGCTATATCTGAGGGCATTATAATAACAGAACCAACCAGTTTTTAACTGCCGAGCTGCATTTTGGAAAATCAATTTCACCGTAAAATTGCTGGTCCAAGTGCACAAACAATCAATACGTTGACACAATTCTCAGAATATCACGACTGAATCAAAATCAATGTTCAGCATGACCATAAGTATATAGAATGAAAAAGCACTAATTATATAATGAAAAATGCAAGTGGATTTTCCACTACATACGATTCAGGCTCCTCGAACCAACAATACATTCTCTGAATTATATAGTCATGCTGTTTTATATCGGCTCTTTACAGTTTTTCTCACAGTATTTTGCAGCGCTTTATGTTTGTAATTAGCTGAAAAATCGTGCAGAATAAATATGAACGTGAAATGGTGACGCAGTATTCTCATCTCTGATCACATTTCATTTTGCCGTTTGTCGGATTCCACTATTATGCTTTCAACCAAAGAAGTACCTCCAAGTTGGAGCTTTTCAGACACTGGATTCCCTCCTAAGGGAAAACGAATCTTTTCCCTGATCATCACATTCCAGCGGACGCAATCTCATACTTTGTCCCCGATGCTGAGTGGGCAAACCGTTTGAAGAAAGGCTTTGGAGACGGGACATCCCCGAAATATTTCCCGATTTCAGTTTGATTAGCTCAGGAGTATGCAGCCATGCATCTCACATGGATTGCAGTGGTCCAAGTTTGATTTAGTATATTGCCTGATTACTCCATGGCAGGTGATTTGTGAGTGAATATATATTATACCTGAGGTTGAGTCTCTGATCTGTAAAAGGCGGGCTTGAAAATGGAAAGTTCCGTTTTGGTCACTGAGACTCGTTTGAGTGGTATTTTTCTTGTTGAAAGTTGCTGCGTCACTTGTCTTTATCAAAATCCTTGTACCGACAGTAACCTGTGCGGGTCAGGGTACGGGGCGTCTAAAGGACTGGCTGTGTGTTTGTTCTCAAAGCCTGGGTTCGGAGCCCCTTTACTGGGGAGAGCGGGATTTAGCAAAATGCCTAAAAGCTTTCTAAAACGACCACTGGGAGTCTTCGTTTCGTATACCCAAGGAAGTTACTTCATGTAGGGTCAAACAAACGTTTAGTCGTCATCCAGGCAAGTACTGCGAGATCTGCAATTTCTGCCCTGGGACTTAACGTAATTTAGTCTTTTGCCGCAGTCACTCACGCATGACGATCGTTATTTAACTGTATTCCGTACATCTCAGTCCTTAATGGGCAAGTAGCTCTCATTCCGTAAGACGACCTATGCCACCCCACCATGTTTAACTTCTTGTTCATTTATGAGGGCAATATTTCGGCGCCCCAAGTGTCTTTCCCAAATAAACCCTAAGATTCCATACCTATTTTGCAGAGGTTATTTATTGTTTTATTGAAGATTTATATCTTCAGTCAACATTCTCTACCAGTAATCAACTTGGCACTTCTGTGCTTTGGTTTTGGATGCTACCCCGCACTATCACTGAGTCGAGAGTGATGTGAGAAGAAACTTGTGAAGAGGAGACAAAAAGGAAGGAAAATTATATCTGAAAACTATGCTCACCGAGAAACATTTTGAATTCAACTGAGGATATTGGCCGCGATACCACCGCTGCGGCGTCGCCAGATATTTGTTGCTTGCCTGTCGTGGAAGAATACCGTTGGTTAGGTTTCCCATACGTTTTCGAAACTTTGTGGGCTGGCCAGTACGACCCATCATCCAACCACAGTCTACCTTGTTGGAATAATCGACACCTATTTATTCGTCGATGTCGATTTTAAAATCTTTTATGCGATATCCAGTTAGAGAACTATGTTACTCATCAGTACTAAGCAACTGTACTGGAAAATGAAGGGATAGGAAAATCTGGCATTCAAATAAAAATAACGGGAAATACAGTGAGATTGAAAATGAGTATATTACGATATGTATTGGGAAGTTATGCTTGCCATGGAAACGTACAACACTTGTCCAAATGTTGTATGCTACAGTATTTTCTTCGGTAAAGGGCTACTATATTAGTTCTCCGAGCGAGTGCAGGGGACGTTCAGACCGACATTTTAGCGCCTTCGGCAGTACATGATGGTCGTAAAACACTAGAATAGCAAGTTTGAGATTCAAGTAATTCTATTTGGGTGAACCGATCCACCACCTGCCGGTCAAAAATGTACTTCTATTAGGTGGTCGAGGATATATTGCACAAACCTTTTTCAGACTTCTCCACCCACATTTGTGAGGGGAAATCATTGTTTTCGGCTCATCAGATAAGTCCAAGATCCAATATGATCCATATTAAATTATTTGCTCATTTCGTTAAAAAGCCCTAAATAAGAAGATACAGGGGATGCCTAGAGCCGACATCGACCGGGATTCTATCTAAGTCGTGCGTGGCACATGCTCCAGCTGCCCTCACCCATTTGGGTTCAGCGCTTGTTTCAGAGACTGACGCTGGGTTCTCGACATCCCTGACCTAACCTCGGCACCACTGATACTGTGTTCATACATCCTGCCGCTCATAGTGTAACGATAACTAAACTGAGATTGAAGACCTCTTTTAAAACCTCTCGGGTACTCAAACCGTTGACTGATTCAAGATGCTTAAGGAGCTCAGCCTGCCTTAAATATCATTGACATAGTTGGGAAATGTGCGCAGGGATGTTGTCACCTCGTCTGGTGATGAAATGTTTGGAAAAATTAACTTGGAAATTATAGGGACATCGACAAATTATCCACATTCGACTAAATAAATTTGCTTTCTTCGTAATGAATCGCTATGACTTCGTGTGGAAGCTACTGCTGTGGTGGGGTATGGATATTACTTATTGAATAAGTGGTTCATTTCTCGAAAACAACTACGGGGCAACAATGAACGTGGCTGCGTCACATGGATTGGACGCAATGGGATAAAACAAGCCATAGAAACCACGTGATTCCATCCGCTGACCGAATAAGAACTGACTTAAATTCGACTGGATATCACCAATGCAAATGCGCCGTTTAGTTATGGTTGGATAATTTCGGTATTATTTGAAAGCGTACTCTCTGATGAACAAACAATTATGTGCACGTCTTCCGGATCACAGCACTGAAATACGGCGATGAGCTAAAATTCACAGACGGATAAGGATTTGGTTATGGTTACCGCACATATTATATAGACGATCTACTTCGTACCAATAAAATGAGATGGTTTGAAGCCAGAAAAGCCGTCTCATTATATCTAGTGGGACGGATCAAAACAGTTTGTATTCACGATAGGAGAACCATAATCCCAAACAGTACATGGAGGTCATATCTATGCTGTAAGTAGAGTCATGTATGCATACGGTGCACGTTGGTTGATCTCAGTTCAGTACAGATTATCCAACCATCGCATTTCTGTGCTCTGGTTTTGGTTGCTACCTCACAGCGTTCTCGAGTTAGGGATAGAATAGTTGACCCAATAATGGGCCCTATTGTTTCTTGAATTTTCTGATGAGTATCTTGTATTGTGGTTTACAACTTCAGGACACCCATTTCCTTGCAGTTCATTTTTCTCAGTCTCCTAATGCTGTTTACCATTACCATTACCACCTATTATGCCTCAAATTGGTAGGAAGCTTTGATCATTTTACCACCTCTTCTCTTGGCAGCCATTTTATGACCGTTCTAGAAGATTTACGGCTGAGGTCAAATGAACGCGTTCACCATATATATATTTTTGATGTTCCAAAAGCTACAGCTTTCAGTCTGTAATACTGTGAGATGTATGGCGTTTATTTTTTCGATCTGAGCTGTTATCCTCATAGTCAATACACAAGAATGTGCAGGACAGCCAGAGGAGCCAATGGCTTTGGCTGGAGCAATTGTCCATGATGGAATGACACCGGGAAGGACTACTTGTTACTTTGGACCGAATGATCCGGTACAGTACGTGGCCATCAGGATTGACAAGGCGGAGTTACCAAAAAGTTTAGGCAACTGTCCGAAATTGACACTACATGAGTACTCATCTGTACGTGAAGAACTCATCGACAATACGGATCCCAATTTACGGGTTGCGATGGTCGTTCCTGCTGATCCAAAATTACTGGTGAGTGATGCTACCGTCCAATACTATTTGATTTTCGAAATAAGTAGCATGGCATTGTATCTAGATAACAGGACAAAACTTCCCCGGAAGCACACGACCGGTTTCGTGTTCTTTACCGCTCATCAGAAATGTGTACCTCGTACTTTTATGTCCGACCATTTTCATAGTGGAGCACTTTACAGTTGATTTAAAGCTGCCGTTCCAAAAATGCATGCTTGGGATCATGATTCCTCTTTCTGAAGATTAGCCGTGTTAATAGGTGAATTAACTTTGTAAGAACGACTGTGTGGTTCTAAAATCGGACTTTCCTTCGATGGATGCTCCACACGATTCGAATGAGATTACGGCTCTGTTTGGTTTTGTTTATGATATTCAGTTACGATGCCTAGCCAGTAGCATTTTTTCATTTCTAGTGTCTTTTGAACCGTCCAGTTGTATGAATCCAGGAGGTTCTCGTATGACATGCATAGATAAGATACAGAATGTTTTTATGATGTGCTAACTCGTTCATTTTCATTTGATCAGCTTTACTCGGCGGTAATTTTTACCCAATCATGACAGGTAGTATATGGACTAGCGCGATCTCGCATCCTAGGAAACTAGTCTTTAACAATTTAAAACTGGATGTTCAGTCACTGATCATTGTACGCTTCCATCAATTTATTGTTTTTCGCTCACTTGTGTTTATATTGCTATCGTGTATTGACCAAACAGTCAAGTCATCCATCATAGGAGTCGATCGCTGTGTGGGAAGCGGGTTGTTACCGTTCAAAAGCCAGTGACGAAAGGGTGCTATATCAAGTAGTGTAGATGTTCAACAAACCGTTGAGAGCGAGTGCGGATAGCGTTGCGGTTAAGATGTTTGATTTACAGTCGTTCGCCCCGGGTTCGAGTCCCCGTGGGGGCTCGGTGGATGTGCACTGCTGATGATTCCCAACAAGGATGAAACAGCTGTACAGTGCTTCCATGGTTTTCAATGGTGAGTTGAGCGTTCAAGCTGCATGATGAATCATATTACATACAATCATCGAAATGATGAAGTGTTACACGTGTAGCTGAAGCGGTGGGACTTCTATAGCCATTTCTTTCGGGGTATTGATAGAGGCTATCATACTCCTGAAGTTTGTTTCAGTTTACAGTAGAGTGGAAGATTTTCAATAAAGCTCGAGGTAGGCAGTAAAAGCGGCCATTATTTCGGTGACAAGCAGCTTCCCACTGTCTCCCGGCTCGTTAATACGTCTGACAGATTAGGATTCTGTGCATTTTTCTTTCACCCCAAGCCTCCGGATCAGGTTATTGGTGATCCCCAATGGATCAGTGAGCCTTCAATGTGATGAGGAATAACTGTAATCTTGCTTGAATCTAATGGAGCATGCATGGACGGGGAGATTAGAGCCGTAAACCAACTGTGGAGTGATCAAGTATATGGATGATTGGGCGGAAGAGTACTGGATACGCAAACCTGATGAGCGGCAATAACTGCGAAACCGTTCGAATGCTTCCGGGGAATTTTTGTCCTTTTATCCAGATACAGTGCCACACTGCTCATGTCGACAATGAGGAAGAACCCTATCATTGTAAACATTCGATAAAAATGGTGGTGCTGGTTACCAATGAAAACAGATGGCTGTGCGACGGAAAATCCATGGACAATCTGGGTAGATCTTCGGCGGTTGGCAAGCTTGGTCTTCCACTGTCATATCACAAACAATATTGGCGAAAATGAACGATAATATCAATGGTGATGGTCATGATCAAGTTATCATACCGTGGTACAAAATGAAATGTGATAAACACAAACGAAATACTGGTTTTATTCCGCCGGAAACATATTCATGTAATACCGTTTGCATGGACAATGTATCAAAATACTCTAATTGGATGAAGATTTGAAGTGTCGTGTAGACAGCAAAGCATTTTTTCGCGATCTACTTTGAATTGTCACCCGAACAGATGCACTCGAGTTTGATATAATGTCAGAAGACAGTCAAGTCCTAGGTAAACAGTGTGATTCTGGGATAAAATATTTACATCGATGACGCATGGCGTAATAAGCAAGAAAAAACGGATAACGGGAGTGAAACCTACATTCGAGAAGAATTATTAGCAGTCTCAAGGAGGAAACATCGTCACTTGGTGGTCCGTTCGAAAAGGTGAACAGATTCAAGATGACCGGTCAGTCAGAACGAAGATCGTAAGAATGGACCCATAAGATCAAATGAAAAGGGGGTTCCAGTTATAGAGTCTGACTGCTGGAATAGCAGTCGGTAGCAAAACGCAGGAAACGGAGTAACACGAACAGAGGGTTTGCACTCCCCTCGGGGTCGGTGCTCCCGACAGTGAGTAGTCTCCTTGTACTTCGAGCAACGCAAGATCACCTTCCAATGAGCAGATAAGACGTCTGTCTTTTCGAACACTGCCGTTTGCTGTTCTGGTAGTGACTTCTGTTATCAAACCATCAGATCCTGGGTGTACATCCGCAATGGTTGCCTTAGGCCAGTGACCCCGCGGTTTGAAAACCTCCGGTGACAAACCTAAATGACCAATCTTAGGGATCAATTAATGCGTGAATCATTTCTGACGCGCGACCAAAGTTGGAGGGTATAACCGCAACCATTGTTCTCCGAGTAAAACCAGTGTTAGCAGATAGTGAGATGAACGGCGTAGATGTTGTGACTTCTGACCAGGTTCTGAATGGCACAAATCTGGCAAATGTACCTTTTCAACAGCCGAGTACGATACAGCATTACGTGCTGAAGTAGATCCGTGACGGGAACATCTGGGTCGCGGTTTATAGTACCAATTCATTTGACTGGTTCCTAAAATGTCTGGAGAGAGACGTACCATCAAGTTTCGCGGCGCTCTTGGAAGTTCGGTGATCATCTGCTCCTCCGGGATAATTTCCAGACGACAATTAATGTTCCATTTACCAACATCCAAACACTGAACAAAGATCTCCATTTCATCAACATTGGATGGATGGGTGTTGGCCTGAACGCACAGACTGACTGCATTCAATTGTTTAGTCTCACGCAATATCGGCGAATTCAAGCATTCAAGTCTATCTGTGTTGAGCGAGGTGAACGGGTCCGCTTCGGAATCACATTCAATGAAGTTGATGTGAATAAATAGCTGGTGTGAACGTTTTTTACGTGGATGTGGCTACTTGGATTTTTGCTCGAACTTGAACAAAATCGAAGACCCTGTTTGTAATAAGATAAATCCCGTCATCGTTTGTGGTGTCCATGTCGCGATCGATACGTCATTTTCTACTTCTAGGTTCTCCGTTCGAACTGTGTTATGACTCGGGAGTCTTAGGATCCGCATCCACACCGTCCATGGTCTCTGGCATGCAAGGTCCGACATAGTCAAACTGTCAGCATAATTATCTTGATATCCGTAGTCCGTGGTTTGCGCACGCTTGCCTCAAACTGCCCGTTCCGTTTTATCGCCATTCATGTGTTCGATTACCAATGGAGGTTTCGTGGACATGGTTTTTCTGGCACCTAAAATAATAATAATAATAATCCCATTGATTGCAGAACAAACGCGTTTTACAAATACCCTATTATTCAAAGTATCTCCAATCACGTTTTGTAAGTCCAGAAGCAGCGGCAGTATACAATCAGAAAAACCAGTCGCGATACACAGGCGCATTGCACCCAGTCCCCAGAGAAACCAAGGTAAAACCCAGTCGCAGTGGTCGAAGGAACAACACGATTTTCCGGACCCGGGTGACATAGTAAACCGGGTAAACTGACATCCAAATAGCCAATACTAAGTGTCTGACTTGAACCAGCTGATTTCGAGCCGTTCACTCCCGTGAATCCATAAATCATATTTCGTCTCGGCCTCGAACCTTGGACGGTACCATGAACTTGATCGGCCAAAGCTTCGCCGTGCGCCTCAGACAAACCACCAGCACCAGCTACTCCGGTTGTCTTCGCAGGGCTCTCTCGGAATTGAGATGCCTGTTGCTGTTGCCAGATTGTTGCTGCTGCTGCTTCCGACCAACTCTGATGCATAGAAGGCGTACCGTGGTAAGGACCAGACTGACCGGTGGTTTTCGGACACCTGGACAAATCACTACTGGTTCTAGCAGCCTCATCAGACGAGACCGTACCTGTGATTTTCGCCGCAGCTGCAGCTCGGGCTTGGTTGGATCTCTGCTGAGAGTTGTGCGCAGACCCGGTGGATTTTCCTGCTGTCGTTGAAAGAGCTGTAACGGGTTTTGCGAGATCTCATTCAGGAGCTGTTCAACCAACGGAAGCTGGGTCAGTCTGATCCAATGCAGGTTTGACTGAGGATGTTCCAAAGTATCCCCCAATTTGACATATTTTCCTACAGATACTGTGGAGTCAGGTAGCTCTGATATTATCTGTACTGCAGTGCGAGCTGAAGATAGAAAATGGGTAGCTAGTTGGGTCAAAACATTAGAAACTGAAAAAGGAAGAATACAAACATAGTGTTACATGCATTAAACTGCCGTTTCTTTCTTGGGCAAATGAACGCAAGTTGTAGTCTGGTTCCAAATTACGAAAAACCCGAGTTGCATACTTACAAGAAGACACTTCAGGAGCAGTTCATGGAGGTTGACAAATACGCATTTCAGTTGGGTTAATGTGAAACGTATGATAGTATTTTATATTCTAATTATAATCCTTTGAACTTATCTTTTAATCGAAACAACACGGGAATGTCCGTATAATGGGACGTAACAGTCAACAGATGAACCTTTTGCTTCTTATTTGTTTCTTTTTAAGTTGATTGAGTTTTTTAGCCTGAAGGGACAGCCCGTGTGCAGTAATCACAATGAACTGAACTGACGGGACGTACTGAAATTACCCCGCCCAGAACTACGCAAACCAAAGTAGCAAGAAAACCAAGGCTGCGAAATAGCACGTTAGCTGTCTTGCACAACTGGTTTGTATGAATATGCTAAATCAGAGAAGATTGTTAGACCAGAAGATGACCAATCACAGGGTGCAATTGTCGGAATCGTCTGCGGCGATCCTGATTGGTTGAGGCCCATCCGGCTGCGTGGTTACGAGGCTGTACGTGGCCGTATCACGTGTGACAGCTGCTGAATCACCACACCTTGCCAATCTCCGATTCTGTGGCGCTGCTTCCACATTTAGTTAATTGCTTCAGTTCCTGAACGAAGTATGACAGACTCATAAATAAAGTAGGATGGAAAAATAATAATGACGCATTCAGAAATTACAGATGTCAAATGTCAAAAATCTCAAGGCGTCCCTCAGTTTTCGAAGTACCTGAATTCATCAGTCATGATTATGTTCAAATACCACGGTTCCACGGAAAGCTAAACAGACTGCAATGAGATCTTATTGTAATAATCTATCAAAGATCATGCTCATCTTCAAAATATATTCCAATGGTGCACGGCTAACGTGTTACGGAAAAGTTTCTTACTTTAACCCTAAATATTGTGTATTCATTGCTTATTCGTGAGTTTACAATAGGTGAATAAAGTAAAATCATGACTAATTATGAGAACTGGAGCTCCATTTTTCTGTTAAGTGACGTGGCTATCCAAATTGTTGTATGAAATGTGTTCAAAACCTAAAGTACCTTGATAAAAAGGATTACGATACAAAGAATTGAGCAACGAATAAAGATGCAATGGCCGAACTTGATGAAACTGAACACACTCAAAAATGGATGCGATTACATAGTGTACTGGATCAGAGGTGACCCTGTGAATAGGAAAGTAATTAATCGTCTGCCAGGGACAAAAGTCATGTTGTCCAACAAATCGAAAAATAATTTCTCGTTCCACGCCGAAAATGTTTGAATCCGTTCGGTGCAGAATCAGATAAACTGACAAAGCACAGTTCTGATGGTGCTGAGCTTTCCTAAGTCGTAAACTTTACCGTTCTCCCAATTCGTTTCAAGCCTGTTGCTTTAAACTTGTAAATCTCCAATATGTCTCACTTGTTGACCCTGCCGGTTTATCATCCTTCGATTCACCACATAACTCACACAATACCGTCCCTCATCACAACCTGACGTTCACCTGTGCCCGTCATTCTGAAAAGCAGTCAATGCTTCGTCACTTAGCGAGAAAATACAGTGGTCCAGAAGGCGCAAATCTATTTTGTTGTAAAACGCTACATATCATAACTGGTAGCTCGAACTGAACTGAGTTGTACTCACAAAATGCAGACGGAATAACTGAAGATAGGATACATTTCATCACCATGCTGCCCGTCTTCAAATTTATCCAAATTATTATTGAGCAATAGGAAGCAAGCAAGTAGATATTGCTTGTTTCCATTGGAGTTCACTCATGTCCTCGTTCATGTTTCTTATTGTTCTACAAACTAGCTAAAAACCAAATAATTCCAGTACAACCGAAGGAGCAACGGTGGAAAACTCAATTGTTTCCGCAGATTCATTCTCCGATTGATCCAACTGCAATTACAGATACGATCTTTCGGATTTGTGTAACTACCACCACTCCGATTCCAAACCAGCATTCGAAACCAGTGTAACCTTAGCCGTTACCTTTGAACTAAAATTATAAGCAGACAATTCATGGCTTATGTCTTTTGCTTGTTCGTATTTTCCCAACCAAAACCATGTCAGTCCCCCTTGCAATCTGGAGTAGCGACCAGTTAAATGTGCGCACAAATTCTTACGAGATGTCCGAGAAAAAGTTACGTAGTGAAACGAATAATATCAAATCGGATGAAACAATAGGTAGAGCCTAAAATTCTTACACCTGAGGGTCGACAGGAAAGCTGTGAGGTCCACACCACGAACGACGAAGAAATCATGAGCACAGTCAGACTTGCACTACATCAGTTTATTTTGCGCGGTACGAAACCTTACGATTGACAATTGATATTTGTTAGAGGGCGAGGAATTAGGGTAGGAAATGATTTTTCATCATTCAACATGGGCTTAATTAGTGTCTGCGGAAAAACCCTTGAATTATAAACGTTCATCTCAAGAAAAGTTTATATTTTGATTATATGTATCTCTGCTAAGAATTTGTTCGTTTTATTTTCAAAATTCCTATGAATGTAAGCTTGGTGTCGTGTGTAGGAGCGCGTCACAAAAGTCAGAATTTCTTCACGTTGACAACCAGTTGTCGAATAAATTTTCATGTAAACATTTGACCACCAGCATCACTAAAGTGGTCTGTTTGTAAACTGCGCGCTCTATTGAGGTGTTTATCCAGCAGTGCAGCATCAAACATACCAGTTATCGACATCAGAAGAATAACATCGAACCAGTAATGCACAAAGTAGTGAGCAACACTGAGATTTCATATCTAATCCAAAGGACGGCTGCGTCATACGCACCTTTATATGAATGAAGACATGTACGTTTAACTTAAATTCGTGAGTTTTTTCACTCGCTAGAGAAAACGTGGTAAATTATGAACCTAAAGGTAAAATTTAACGTTAATCTTATGTGGTGGTGCAAAGTTTTGTCTACCACCAGTGATATCACTTCCGCATATAAATTTATTGTAGCCGTCTTTTTCACCAGGTAGAGGCGAACTGTTCTAACTACGAAAAAATTCGGCGAACGGCACTGCAAACGTCATCACCTGGATTGAAATTACAAATGCTGTTTGATCCATTCAGCTCTTCAGTTTCCGAACTATCGTACGAATTCACGTTGACCAGTTTTGGTGAGTATGACACCAGGCTTTTCCGGGCATCATAATTGTACTTAAACGGCTCGGTTCATATACTCAATGGTTTTCTTACTTACTGTGTGTGACCTACGTTTTTCTTACCTTCATATACACCATTAGTTTTTGCTAATCTCGGCTCTGATGAAAGCAGTAGTTCAGGAGTCGATTATAAATCGAATGCATTCCTTAGGCCTAAATTTTCACTTGATTTGGCTGTCTTCAACGTCCGCACACTATGTCAGATAGAGCAACAGGCTGCCCTCGCTAAAACTCTTGACACTTTTGAAAAAGATGTATGCAGTGTCTTCGAAATATGCATACAAGACCCCACTTCTGTGATCACTTTTCGTACCTCAGATATAACCTCAGCCTTTAGCTTGACTCTTCGTGTGTCGGGTGATCCGGTATCTAGAGCTCGTGATCAGGCCGACGTTGGGATTACTTTGAGCATGAAAGCTGAGCGTGCACTGCTGCACTGGATTCCAATCAGCAGTCTTTCGTGTGCAGTTCGGTTTGAAGGTTCTGTTCGTGTCAACGACAACAAGCTGAAGTGCCAATACTTGTTCGTCGTGCCCGTGTACGTGCCCATTGACAACAGTACCTCTGCGACCAAGGGCAAATTCTACCAGGATTTCCATCAGCCACTTCGAAACGTGCGTTCAACAGACCTGGTGATCGTTCCCGAGGATTTCAAAACCAAAGTTGGCCGTTTGCGGAATTCCAAAAGACACTTTGGAGGCCCATTTGCAATCCCAGCTGATCGCACTGACAACGGTGATCGTCACATCCAGCTGTGCTCCGACCACAGATTGTTTTTGACAAGTATAAACTTCTGCCATAAGAAGCCATACAAAACGACATGACATCCTCCTACGTCTTCATAACGCCGGACTCAGACTGACCATATTGTGATTGGTCACCGTTAGTGTGGATCAGTTGAAGACTGTCGTTCATTTTGCTCTACGCCTGTGGACTCAGATCACGCCTTGGTACGTGCTCGCTTCTGTTTACGTCTCGTTTGTGATCGCACCAAAGTAAATGCCACCCGCCCCGCGCAGTTTCTTCTGGAGGATAACCGATTATCTGCTTGTCAGGCAGAGCTGTGTGCTCACCACGGATGCAGCCGGATGTTCAAGACCCATGTGAACGCTGGCTGCATATCAATAAAACCTAGTATGCAGCGTCCAATGCCACCCAGGATTTCGGTTCAAGTCGGTCTCACAAACGATGGATATTTTCGATATCAGTTGCTCTGTGGGATGCTCGCAGATCCGTCCCTCCAGATGCCAAATTTAATGAAATGCGTAGATCCCTGAGATGCCAACTGACTAGGAGCCTGTGAAATGACCGTGAGCAGTGGTGGATTGCCAAATGTGAGGAAATGGAAAAAGCTGCCTCTGTTTGGAATACTCGCAACCTTTTTTCATTTGATCAGAGACACCGCTCCACGGAAACTCGGTATAAGTGAGCTGACCAAGGAATCCGAAGGTTCACTGATTCATTTCCAAGGACATCGTCTAGATCGTTGGGTGGAGCACTTAAAGAAACAATTCAGGTGGCCCACTTCAACACTGCACCTTCCGAATATACCAGCCAAGGACACGATGCAGGTGGATATCACCCCCTCCATCAGAGATGAAGATTGTGCGGGAGATAGGTCACCTGAAAAGGTACAAATCCGGTGGACCGGATGGGTTGTCTCTATATTTTTTCAAGAATGGAGGCGAAGCTTTGGTTTCGGGGTTAACAAAACTCCCCCGTGTTATTTGGGATGTGAGCAGATTCCCAGAAAATTATATGAATCTGTGATTGTGCCGATTTACAAGATAAGTGGTAGGTCCTCTTGTGGAAGCCACAGAAGAATTAGCTTGGTAAGTATTACTTTAAACTGCTCACCGGGCTCATTCTTCACCGATTATCCAGCATACGCGAAATGTGTACGAGTGAGAACCAAACCGGTGTCAAACCCGGTCGGGGTTGAATCAACCATATCTTTGCTCTTCGACAAATCTTAGAGCACAGACACATCTTCCGTAGGTCCACAATCTGTGTCCTTCTTGATCTGAAAGCGGCGTTTGACTCAATCGACAGTACAGTTCTCTGGCGCTGCCTATTATTGAAGGGTATGGCAGAGAAATTTATTTCGCTTTTCCAATGCTTGTATGTGAACAGCCGAAGCTGAGTTCGTGTTTACGGCGATCTTTCACCCGAGTCCACAATGGAAAGTGGTGTTCGTCAGGGTCGCCTTCTTTCACCCTTCCTCTTCAATATTGTGATTCAATTGATTCTTAAAAGAGCTTTCTCCTTGAGTGAGAACAGCGGCGTCGATCTTTGCTCAGGCAGTAAACTGTCTGGCTTGGAATGTGCGGACGATATTGTTCTTCTGAGTGAAGATCCAGGTAAGTTGCAAGCTCTTTTAGATAGCCCTGACAACAGCGTAGCATAATTTGGGATGCGTTTTGCACCTTCAAAGTGTAAAATGCTGTTGCAGGACTGGGTTGACTCAACAGCAAACCTTGTGTTGGCAGGGGGAGCTGTAGCTCAAGTGGATAAATTTCGTTACCTGGGAAGTTACATTTCACCTGGAGTATAGATGTCAGATGAAGTGTCATCGCGTATAAAGAGGGTGCGTTTGGCTTTCGTGAACCTCAGTCATCTGTGGCGTTGGCGTGACATCCGATTGTCTGTTAGGGGTCGATTTTAAAGTTCGGCGGGTAGGTCCGTTCTATTATGTGGTTCAGAAACAGCCTCTAAAGGTTGCCCTGTTAGCTGCTGCATTTCTCTCAGTGATGCAGAGGGCTTCTTGCCTTCTAACTCTGTCCCTTGAATCAGCCGCTTTAGTCTTGACGATGCTGACGGCAAAAGACAAGAGATAACCGCGTCTTTCACGGCCGTGTAAGAATAGTCATTGAATGTCGCGTATCTGGGTAGCAACGCCGCGGGGAGCATGACCTATGGTCTACAAGTAACGAGTACGCTCGCTTTCGATTATGTCTCGAACTCCGCCTCTAACATATAAAACTAGAGTTGAGGGTCACCAATAAAAACTCAGGGACGGCTAGGGAGACTGTCAAAAAGGACGGTTTCAAGTCAGGCATACGGTCCTTGCTAGCCATGAGTACACTAGTATATCAAATGTAAGAGGATAAATAAAAGTTAGATGAGCAACCGTGAAAAGACTTATAATATCGATAAAAGAGAAGAATATGTAGCGAGTACTATAGCAGTAGTCGGGATTTATCACTTAAGTGGCGGAAAATTCATAAGTATACAAATAAACGAATGAATGTGATTCAAGGACTTATGGGGGTCCTTAGTGGAATGAATTTGTTGTTCGCGCTTATCAGTTTAGGTTCCTCTTAAGTCCAGACCTAGTGCCGTATACAGTCTAGCCCACGGTCCTCATTTCGCGACACGATAGCGATTATACTCGGCAGCGCGCAGAGGAGAACTCGAGACGCTGGGACGAGATAACGTGTGTATTGGAAGAACGCAGCGGCATGCTGACGGTGTACACAGGCGGAACAATTGTCGCCACCAAATTCGACAATTGTTCAGATAACCAAATTAGTTAGTCTTTGTAATTGTATGTCACGCAGGTAGCACTACACGGGTCTCCCCTTAGAAGGCCGACGCAGCTGGGCTTCGACCCGTGATGGGTACGTCGGCTTCGGTGGAGAGAGACGTTTTTCATGCCTCCAGCCGCGATCAAACACAACAACGAAGCCAACACAAGCCGTTCTCCATTACTCACACTGGTCGCCTTGCGTCGATCTCAAAAGTGCGTCCTCCTTAATATTGAATCCGACCTGGGTAGATCCTGTTTGTCACTTTGCAGTGGTGATTGAATTGTAGTGTTTGTCGTTGTCGGCATATTCTAAAGTTCTGTTTGCCTGTGGTTGTTATTGCCTTCGTAAACAAGCCAGCGTCCGGCGTCAAATGAGTCTAGTCACAACCGGGTGAGCGTTGTGTTTGAGTCATGCGAGATCCTGGAATTCCATGTGGTTCTGTCCGGAGGGGGGGGGGGGCGACATGGATAACAAGAAACTCAGGAACGGCGCACCTCGAGGCTCGGACGGATATTCGACTGAGGAGGACATACCGGTGCAATACAGGCTGCCGATACTCCTGTCATGATAACCTACATGGTCTCGCAGTTTTGTATTACTAAGCTATGCACAAGTGGAATATGAAGAGTAAACTTAAATATATACAGCCGGTACAAATTCAGAAAACCTCGTTGGCTGTCGCAGCTGGCAGCCGCGTCGATTTCTCCTGTTGACGGGTGCAGCTGTATCTTCCGTAGAGTTTGGTGCTGAAACCGGTAATGGGTAATCGTTAGTGGGACGACTAACAGAAGGTTGTGAGCAGGTGGGGACATTGGGCGGGTTGTTCCAGGTGGGTTCTACGTCGACGAAGGCTGGTTTAAGGGGGTCTATACTGATGGTCTCTCTCCTGCCTTCGACGTCTACCACGTACTTCTTTTTCTTTCGCTGGAAGATGCAAAACGGGCCAGAATAAGCCAATTGTAGTGGTGATCGCACTGCGTCCACTTGAATAGACACATGGCTGGGGGTCTTTTTAGTTGGAGTTATGTAGGTATCGATGGCTTGTTCTCGCGGTGGGATGGGCTTTATCACCCGCATCTAGTGTGACAACCGTTTTGCGGATTCCTCGTAATTAAAACTCACAGGTGTTAATGGAGAAACCGACTCACCTGGAAGTCGTAATGTGCAACCATAAACCAGTTCAGCTGCAGTAACATCCATGTCGGCTTTAACGGTGTTACGCAGACCTAAGAGAACGGTCGGTAAAACTTCACCCCCTAAAGGGTAATCACGAGCACGAAGGGCAGCTTTCAGTTGATGATGGAATCGCCTCACCATTTCTTCCGTCTGAAGATGATAGGCCGTCGTCTTTCTGTGTCTGCAACTGAATGTGTTCAGTAGCTCATGGATGGCACCGTAAAAATGAGAACTGCGGTGGGTGATCAC